AAATAAAAAAATATATAAAATATATATATATATATAAAAAATAAATGGTGTTGTGCTCAGAAGGACGTGCTTTGTGTCTTCTGGCAGGAGGAGGAAGAGGAGCAGCCCCAACCTGCTCAGCCTGCCCTGCCTGTGGAGGAGAAGAAGAAGATCCCCGATCCGGATAGCGACGACGTCTCGGAAGTGGATGCCAGACACATTATCGAGTGAGCTCTGCCTCTTCACCTGACGTGCCATCTTCTGTTGGAGTCATTTTTATGAACCCCACGTGCTTTATGTCAAAGGAGTGAGATTTGTTGGGTGGTGTTTTCTCTGCTCCCAGTTCTGGAGAGCACTCTTTACAAAATGAGACCTAATTTAGAACTGGAGAATCGTTTGGGTTGGAAAAGAGCTTTAAGATCATCAAATCCAACCGTAAACCCAACGTTGATGAATCCACCACTAAATTGTGTCCTTAACACCACATCTGCATGGCTTTTAAATCCCTCCAGGGGTGGGGACTCCACCACATCCCTGGGCAGCCTGTTCCAATGCCTCAGAACCCTTTTGGTGAAGAAATTGTTCCCAATATCCAATCTGAACCTCCTACGGCGCAACTTGAGGCTGTGTCCTCTTGTCATTTGTTACTTGGGAGAAGAGCCCAATCTTCACCTTGCCACAATCTCCTCCTTTTCTCCAGACTAAACCACCCCAGTTCCCTCAGCAGCTCCTCATCACATTTGTCCTCCAGACCCTTCACCAGCTCCATTGCTCTTCTCTGGACACTCAAATTTGGCACATATTGGGAAAATTAACCCACCCTGGCACGGATGGTGCTGCCCAGGAGATTCCTCACCTGTATCTCCAGCATGATCATCTTTCTTATCTCCATTTTTTTTTCTTCTTTCCCATTTCCTGCTGTCCTCAGGAATGCTAAACAAGATGTTGATGATGAATACGGGGTGTCTCAAGCTCTGGCCAGGGGCCTGCAGTCCTACTACGCCGTGGCCCACGCCGTCACCGAGCGGGTGGACAAACAGTCCACGCTGATGGTCAACGGAGTCCTCAAGCAGTACCAGGTGAGAGGCTTGCCAGGGTTAGCATCTGCCATACCTGGGCACCTTCTGATGGTGCTGCCAGGAGGTTTTGGTGAGAGGTACCAAGATCTGGGTCATACCAAGATGCTCCTGGTAGCAAGAACTGGGAGCTGAGGGCAGAGTTGGCTCATCCATCCGATGTGAGATAACTCACTGCTGAAAACAAAGAACATCGGCTCTCGGAGAGAATCAGAGAGGAATATATAATCCTGTGATGACCTTTAAATAATTAAAATGAGATGGTTTAATTAAATAATTAAGATGAGAGGGTTTAATTAAATAATGAAAATGAGATGCATTGAACACGCGCTGTTTCGGGAAGGTCAACGACAAGCTTAAGAGTTAACAGAAAAGAGCAGCTCCTCATACAACTGCTTAGAATACACAAGCTTTGATTATTGCCCATTTTAAATAGACTATGTTGGGACAGCTTCTCTTAAAACAGGACAGCTTCTCTTAAAACTAAGTCTTCTTCAGCCCCAAAACTGCATTTTTGTTGTTGCTTTTCGTT